ATGCTGCTCCAAGAGCCACCCACATCCTTCTTGTATACAGGGTGTATTTGCATTTGCAGCCTGTCCCAGTGCAAACATGGGAAGAGGGAAAAATCCAACCTCATCTTTAGTGTTAGTTGCCTTCTCCATCTCTAGAATTACTTGGAGCTTATCTTGATCACTCATTCAATTAAAATCTTGTTGTGTTACCTTTTCTAGAAATATGTGTCATGTAGATAAGACCATAGTTATGTTGTTACTTTTAAAATCTCTATACCAAATGTTTGGGTCAAGAGCAAGAAAGTAATTGTTTGGTTTTTGACATGCAAATAGGTTTGTCCCTTGAGTTCTGGTTTTTCTTCTGCTGTCCCAAAGTAGGGTAGCACTTGAGTACGAGCTTAATTCTAAGCATGTGCCGAAATCTTTCGGAATTTGAGGGGATGAGGCATGTGCTTAATGCTTTTTTGAACAATGTTGCTTTTCAGAGTTGAAGGCTTTGTAGGAAACCTGACCCTTTAAACTAGCTCCTGTTTATGTACATTTCAATTTTATAATATTGTAAGTTTTTCCCTTCTTTCTTCAATATCCTTGATGCTACATCATATAATGAAAACAATACCAGTCATGCCACTTGCAATTACTGAAGTAGGCAGTGAAATTATTTTTTTCTGAAGGAGCTAGGGAAATCACATAAATCACAGTTACAAATGTTTTCCCAGGAGAGGTCTGCAGTAGTTGGCTGCATAGAATGACAAAAGTCTTGTTTACCCATGAAAGGGTGGTCATCTCAGCAGGTCAGTGATGTTTTTCAAAGACTTATTGTTGATTTTAAAGTAGCTGGTAATTTATTCCTTGAACTCTGGCTTACAAAAATAAAGCAGGGTAAATATTCAGTATAATAAGGGCCGCGCTGCCATTCAGTATGCACAATGCCCCCACCTCCCCTCTCCCACCAGCTTCTCTCCATTGTTGGCTTCTGCATTTCTCGCAAGGCATGAGCTGACCTCCGCGATTATTTATGGCGCTGTTCAGATAAGCCCTTTTTTCACAGGCAACACACATATGCACACTCACAAGGGCTGTTATAATTTGCAAGTTCAGCTATCACTTCCTCTGTTCCCACCCTGCCTTTTGGAAAGATACCCAGTCACACGATGTGCTTGAAAAAAGGTTGCTGATTGAGGAAGGATGCAGGAAGGATATGGTTTTGCAGCGATTGCGTAAGTGCTGTGTAGGACCTGAAAGCCTTGGGTTTATATGAGGACGAGTTTAGATGTGAATTTCAAAGATTTATTTTGTCTGATTTTTAAATAAGTCATAACTCCTGAGCAGTTTGCCTGCTTTAGAGAACCGTGGAGCAACCTGTGTTAATGTGATCTTCTATGTATTAACATGGACAAATATAAACTTGCAGCCGGCACCCTGGATTCCCTGCCTACGTTCCATCAGAGATCTCGACATTATTTCAGAGAAATTGTCTCCAAAGCTTCTGTTTGAAATTGTCAGATGCAATCATGTCTAAGCAAATGTACTTCCCATCGAAATCTTTTGGGAGTTTTGCCATTTGCCTCAGATGGAGAGTACACAGATTCTTCTAAAAGATGCTGTGTTCTCCCTCAGTGAAGTCCTAAGATGTGAAGACCCTAAAACTTTGTGTCACCTATTACTGTAATGAGAGTGTATATATTGCTATAAAATGAAGGAGCTGGGGCATGGAGGTTTGTATTTTAAAGTTTTGTTTTGGTCATTCCATGTTCTGCCAACATCTAACATCTGCATTTATTTTTTGAACTCTCCTTAATGGATTATATGCATCTGTTCAGTTCTAAGAATAATGCTTGATTTCCTGAATTTATAGGTTGCAATAAAATCCATTCGTAAGGACAAAATTAAGGATGAACAAGATATGGTTCACATCAGACGGGAGATTGAGATCATGTCATCCCTCAGCCACCCTCATATCATCACCATATATGAAGGTTAGTGAATGCGATTCTTCTCCCTGACTGCTCTGTTATGTTATTGCAGACCTGATATTCACATTTCTTGAGATCACGCACCGAACAAACCCCTACCCCTAGTGTAACCCAACCCTTACCAAAGAGGCTGTTTTGAGCACTGCCTTCCCTCTGAACCACCAGTGTTTCACCGATGCATAACCCTTTGCCTGGAGGAGCTTCTTCACGTGTGACTTGAGCGCTGTGTCCATGGCAAGTGGGAAATCGTTGCATGTATCACCTCATCTCCTTGCTCCTGTTGGACAGTTCCATTTAATTTCACCCTCACTTACCCACCAGCCTGATGTCTGCTTATGTCCCCAGCCTCTAAACCAGTCCTTGTATGCTTTATTTTCCCGGGACTGCACAAGACCAGTCTCATCTGCTCTAGGCCTTTGGTCCTTCCTTACCTGCCGGTTAGTCTTGCTGGTTCTGTCATCGCTGCTTTTTTTCCCCTGAATCCCAGTATCCGCTTCCTATCCACCTCTGCACAATTTCCTGTCAGTCTGGTTGCTGGCTGATCGTTCCTGTTTCCTCATCCTGTCTTCCCCCTCTAACTCCTTTCTTCCTGGGACACAGCTGGGAAGCCTGCTAATTCCTGCCTCCGGGAGCTGCTCCCTGGTCCTACAGGAAGGAGCGGGAAGCCAGGGGCATTCCTCCCTGATTTGCCTCTTTGTTTGTTTATATATTTATAGAGTGTCACTCTGTAGTAAACTCTCCTCCTCCTTCCTTCCTTTCTCAAGTAACGTTCTAGCTCTAGCTGGGATGTTTGGGCTGGGTATGTGCTGAAAGACACTGGCCGAGAGGTCTGCTGCCACGAGGAGGGTGGCTGCATGGTGGACCCCGGGTGTGGGTTCCAGAGGTTTGGAGGGACCTGGGTTGGGCAGCCTTGTCCCCGGGGATCACCTCTTTCCCTGTGTGCAGAACAGGCAGCCGAAATTCAGCCCTTCGCATTTACATACCCGTGAGGTAGACGCGCAAGGTGATGATATGTATATGGCAGCTCCACTCTGAGGGTTGATACGACTGATTAAAACGAGCTGGCTTGGAGTAGTGTTACAGTATCGCATATTGAGTTATTCAAAAGCATGTTCTTGTACTTGAAAAGAGATGAATATCTGTCTTTTTATTGAATAAACTCATAACAGGATCTGGGAACAGAAAAGGGGAGGGATGCTGTGTCAGCATGTGGGTTGCAAATGGAACAAAAGTTATTTCAAATGTGCACGGGAACTCGGAAAGAAAAAAGATTAAGCATGCTGCAGTCCTTTGACCAATTGCCCTTCTCGTCCTTACTTTAAATAGTTTTTACTGAGTTAAAACATTTGTAAAAGTTAAAAAGATTACAGCATTTTTAAGAAGCAGACAATAAAGTCCCGTGGGAGCGAAACTTGCCCCCCTGGCCCCGCGGAGGGAGGAGCAATGCTTCTGCAGCAGAGCCAGTCAAGCTCCGCAATGGAGGGTTCGTCCTGTCTGCAGGAGGGTGAGCGCCTATGGCAGGTGATGTTGTGGTCCTCTTGTGGTCCTCTTATGGTCCGTCAGCCAGCAGCAGCGCTTTACAGTGACTAACCTGGAGGCAGTTTTATCTCTCGTTTCTGGGAAGTCTTCCATTCTGTTACTGGTTGGTTTCCTTTTTGTTTTCTAGAAAGCAGAGCAGCCTTTCATGGCTTCTTATGTTTAATTCCTGGCCTGAAGGGATGGGCAGTGGAAGTCAGCTTCTTGGTTGGACTGTAGTCCATTGGAGGGAGTTACATAGAGCAGAGCCATAGCAGCTATACAGCTCATCCAGCCTTTCCAAGCAGACAGAGTCAGTATTTGGCCTTCAGCAGCCAATGCTGTAACTTAGATACTGTAGCACTGGGAAGATGTGCGGTTGCGCAGCTGAATCCAGAGGAGCAGTTACGTGCTGCCCACACATAAGGATGTGAGCTCAGGGATCCTTAAGCGTGCGCTTCATTTTAAGCTGAAGAGTACTTGTAGTGAAGTTAAGGGACTACATCTAGGACTGAAGTATTTGTATCCTCTTGAAGTCGGATTTTAAACACATGGCTATTCCTCTTGAGTGATGCATAAAGAGTGATAATATTGCTATCCTCTGACACAAAATGTTAAAGCTATTCAGTCTCCAGGGATGGGCTTAATCTTACCAAATTTAAGCCATCCAACATTTAGGCAGTTGGTGTACACTAGAAGTCTATTTTCCTTCCCTAGTCAAGAGAGATCAGCATCTACACAGGGTGGTTTGCTTCCTCCTGGGAGATATTTTTTCAGACAGGTGGGATAAATGACATACTGGAGGCTCCTGTTGGCTATAGATGGAGTCTAGCTGACTAACTTAGATCAGATGCTTAACTTTTAAACTGAAGCTACCCCACAGATATTTTTCTCCTCTCTTACTAATTTTTACTGTAGGTTTTCAGACTGCCAATGCATGTCTGACAGTGCTTTCTGTAAGTGCTAGGTTGCACAGATCTACCTAGCATGGACAATGCTGTATCTCCCTGTAATATCTTTGAAAGCTCTTTGTATTGCATTTACAAACATGTGTTTTCCTTAAGTAGGATCCTTGTTTAGGTATCCTTTTGACCTGCCTGCTTAAAAGCATTTAACCTCTGAATTTGTCAACTTGATGTAAACACAAGCTTATCTTTTTTTTTTGATACCGAGCAAATTCGGATGTGTGGAAACAAAGCTTTCCAGTTTAGAGATATTTTTTGTAACCTAATCAAAAGACACATACCTTGCCCGTTACTGCAAGGGCAAATGTACAGTTGTGACTCCAAAGAAATTCCATCCTCTCAGCAGGGCTGTAATTGGCAATCTGTCGAGCACGGCTGCGAGGGAAGTGCTCTTTCAAGTGACTTTAAACTCCTTGAAAGGGACTGGATAAATGAAGCTGGCTTTACTAGCAGTGTTCTGATTTCAGCACATAAATTTTAATTTGTAGAATAATGCCTCTGTCCATTCATCTGTCTGTCTCTGCCCCGCCCCCCGCCCTTCCCCTACCCTTTTTCTTTTTTGCCTTGAAAACTCCGGGATTTGATAATAAAGCCTTTGAGAGCTAGCATATTTTTCCAGGGGTAGCTTGAGTGCACAATCTATCTCATCTGGCAATACTTTATTTAAACCAGGAAAGAGCATCAGGCCTGATTCTGCAAACATTTAAACATGTGTTGGACCAGTCATGGGAGTGAAGTTACACTTGGTACATTCAGGAGTGAGCTCTTGAGTCTTTGTAGTGTGAAATACAGCGCCTACATGAGTGTTTCTGTGCTGGAAGAGTTGTCCTTGGTCAGCATAAGCATCCAGAAAAGTCTGCCCATTTGCAAAATGCACTTAAAAATGAACAGATGATTAGCTAACATGTTTGTAGAAAAAGTTTAACAAACATATTCCCTGAAGAATGAATAAATATTAGGATCACAATTTGGTGCCCATGGAACACGATGGCATCAACGTGAACAAGTAACTGAAGGAAAGCATGTGCTTTGCTGGATTGGGGCCAGGATGCTTAGAACAGTGCTGGACCCTTCACAGCAACAAGGCACAAAAAATGGATTTCCCATGTAAGGCGGACTTCTTTTTTTTCAGGTTGCATTATTTGTACTCTTAAGAAAAAGCTCAGAGATTCTCCATCCTGTATCTACCAGTCCACAATGACTTGAGCTAGGTGGCATGCTTTGGTTAATCGGGCAACTGGGTCAGCTCTTCTCTACTTTCAAATCCCAAAGGCAACGGAAGAAGATCTGACAGTGTGTAACAGCGGTGGCAGAGTATTTCACGATACTCATCTTACTTGCCAAATACATGTTCAATCTCACACTTTGTGCCAGACTTCATACAACAAAAAGCAAATGCACGCTTGGTGTTTCAGACACACATAGGCCTGTCAACAAGGCAGGGCTCCTTGAGTTGTGTCAGTAAAGTCACCATGTCGTCAGTGAAAGCGCCTGCGTTGCCAAAAATCTGCCTGGGTGGCAGCCAGCAAGGTGTGCAGATGCGAGCCGTAGCTGACGAACTGTCCCCCCAAGGCGCACCAGCTCAGGCAAGTGTCCCCTGCCGTCAGCTGCGATGCGCACCCCTGGATGGGGCAGGCAGCTGGGGACCAAGGTGGCAGCTCACACCATCGGCGGGTTTGTGCGTAGGCAGAGCAGAGTTATGTGTCTCAGGCTGAGAGTGCTTGGGAGGCAATCCCAGCCTCTGTCGCAGCCTCTGCTATCTCCGGTTTTCAGATGTAATCAAAACAAACTTTAGTGCCTGGTGACTTCATCGCTTCTTTGTGCAAAACACCTGAAAAACTCCAAAGTCCCTTAAAACATCATGGAGATGACTGGGCTTTAAACAAGAATGATGAAAGTTGGAAAGCTGGAATGAGTCTTTTTTTTATTTAGCCGAGAGAAAGTACTTTAGCAGTGACACTATTTAACCACATTTCTAATTGATTTCCTCGAATTATGTAGGCTTTTAACCTTCAGGTGCTTTATTCCCATTGTTTTCAGTTGATAACATCCAATAACATAAAGTAATATTTCAAGAGTCTGGCGATAGTAATGAAACAAGTCTAAACAAACTTAACTCTTTAGTTACCATACCCCACCTTTATGAATTTCCTGTCATTCAGGATGATCGCCTAAACAACACTGTCGGACATGACAGGAACTCAAATGTGTGAGGTCACTGGCAGGTCCAATTCAGATATCAAAATCCAAGCAATGATGAAATTTATTTCTGTCTTTCCATTTACACAGTCCTCCCACTGCAATGTAAATGTTTGCTTATCTGAAGTTCCTCAGCAGTTTGTAATCATAATTAAAAAAAAAAAAAAGGGTAATTAGTTCTTGTATTCTTTGCTGAAGCAAAAGACAATTAGTGTAACACGTTATTGTGGCCAAATTAGCAACTCTCATTTTTTCTTCCTTTTTAAAGAGTAGACCATCAAAATCTGCATATCCTCAGTCTCATTCTCTGAGAAACAACCTCAG